ACAGGCACACAGGAGTCTCTTTTACTACAGGTGCACAGCTGTAGATCGTACTCTGCTAGAACCTTGAGCAACAGGCATGGATACATGCAAGTGATACGTGAAACAGACAGGCACCTGGATGTGTAACATTCAGTGTTTCACCCCCCAAATAAACCTAAAACCCTGAACCTGAAGCCCTGAACCCAAAGCCCAAATATATGAATCTGAAGTCCCAAACCAGAATCCGAGTTTTGCAGACCGAAGCCGGAACCCCCCTGCAACCGCCGCGGTGGCTCAACTCCTGTCCGCGCGAACGCGGAGTGGCAAGGCGCCGTCAACGAAGGAGTTTCCTGAACCGGACGCCCAAAGGTTTTTTTGAAGAGCAACAAATGAGAAAACAGAGGTTTCTGAATGAAGATCAAAATCAATTCTAACTTAAAAGCAGCAGTCTGATCAATTTCTGAGATTTACAGCCTTCGAAATGTGGAGATTTAAAGCCCTCAAGATTTGTAGCTTCAGGAGTTCAGTGTCATTAACCCATTCAAAACTAGATGTGAAGCTTCCCTTCGCAGAGGCGAGGATTTATCGATCTTTCAGGTCGTTGCTCCAGGTTTAGGGTTAACCTCCCATTAAGTCTCCCCCCCCCTCCGTTTTGCCTCTGGCCCCCTGCCCAGCAATGCTGTCGCGGTTCTGGTAGAAGGAAGTAGAAAGCTCCGAGAGGGAGGCTCCGAGAGAGAGAGGGAGAGAGAGAGATAGGGAGGGAGGGAGCGAGGCGAGTCAGTGATAAGGAGAGAGACGAGAGAGAGAGAGAGGAAGCAAGAGAGGAAATCAGCTTCCAGGTGAAGCCGCGGGAGAAGTTGCGGGTGTTGTAGTTGAGGGTGGTGCGGAGATCGCCAAGCAGATAGCATCCGGAGCGCTGCAGATCTCTGAAGGGGTACAGAATTTGACCGTTCTGTAGTTTGTTCCTTCGACAACCTTTTTGACTCTTAATTGCTTTGGTATGTAAGGTTTCCTGGTTTGGATTGAGGGTTCAGCTACTTCGGTCTGGGCTCGCAATTGAAAGATTTAGGCCTCAGGGTTCCAGGGTCAACTGGACGATGTCTCCGCGTGGCTCTGTGAGCACTAGGTGTGCAGTCCGAGGCCTTGGCCATCCCAACCCTCCACACCAAACCTTAAACCCCAGTCTTGCACCTTCATGGGTGGCTGGAGAAAGACCCCCAGTTCAATCCGCAACCCACTCCCTGAAAAGTAGGATGTTTGGATGTGGAGTCCCTTCCTGTCGTGGCTGCGGCCGTTTCGTCCGACGCGCCAGGAGATGTGGATGCGAAGCATCTTGGTAAAACTGCCAGCGACACCCTGTTCCCTGTCTGGGAAGTAAAGTCTAGGGTTGGATTGCGACAGTTTAGGCCGGATGCCCACTCCTTCCACTCCTTCCCATGTGCACGCAGGTCTGCGGCCGGGGCGACCTGTGTGTCCGTGGCTGCGCCGATCGCATTAGCCGCCTCGGCCGGAACGGCGGCGCCGGCAGCGGTGGCGGCCTGCGGGGCCATCAGCATCGGTGGCGCCGTGGCCTCTGGCCTCCTCTCCAGAGGAGAGGAGGAAGGGCCGACGGTGGAGGACATCCAGAAGCAGGCGGAGGTTTTTGTTAGGTCCAAGGTACAGCAGTGGATTGCAAGATATTTTGGTGAACTAGACCTTGTTGCACTTGATGGTGCTGGCGGTTGTGTCACCCCAGTCTTGCACGGATCAGGTCAAAGCTGGATTCGGAAAGATGAGCAGTCACTTCCACCATATGGAGGCGGCCATGGCAACCGCCTTCAGTGGCATAAAAGGCGAGTTGGATGGCATTCAAACTCAACTGAGTCATGTTCAAAGCCAACTGAATCACGTACAAAGTCAGTTGAGTCACGAGAAGCTGATCGACCGCATGAAGACGACGGATGACCTATGTGACCGCATCGACGGCCAGTACGAGTTCTACATCCGGGGAGGTGCGCTGGCCAGTGGCGAGAGTCCAAACCACAACGATCTCGAGTATTGGGAAACAGAGCTTGATGCAGATGACTTTCGGCAGTTCATAGAGGATGCCATGCAGCTTCCCTGCCCCATTCCGGCGCTCACAAACCCTACATGGCGCTGTGCAACACAGGCGCCTTAGCTCGATGTTTTGATGTCGGACATGGGAGTAAGCAGGGACGAGTAGAGGAGTGAGAAGTGAGGCAAAGCGGGGACGGGGGGGGAACGAAATAGAGAGGTTCGAGGAGTTGCCCGAGGGAGATGAAGTGAACATGCGCGAACGAAAGGTCTACGTGCCACGCTTTCTGGAAGCCAGGTCCAAGCTGCTTGCCTTGCGTCGCTCGGATCAGAATCTGGCTTTGCCTGAAGTGCCAATCACCTTGTCGAACCAGACTGCCTCTGAAAGCCAAGCCCCTTAAAGGACGCAACCAGGATCAGAACAGATTTTCGAGTACAGTGGGTTTGCTAGACCCGCAACTAACACCTCAGCATATCTTGCAGGCTTGACTGTACACGCGGGTGAGCATGTTAACAGCTATGCACCCATGGCAGATTCTTTGGAAACGAGCTGTGCGTTTGTAGTCTTGCCAGGAGAAGATCGCACAGCGTCTTATGTTATGATCCATACACTCCCTCGCCTGTGCCGGTCCTTGTCGTGGGGAAGTGAACTAGGCGTAGCGTTGGCGTGAGCTAGGCATGCGAAGGTTCGAAGGTTGCATCTGCAGCCGCCCTCGTGCAGGTAGTGCGCATGCTGTTCATTGCATGTTATCGGTCCCTGAGTTGTGCATCATTCTACCTAGAGCCATGCGTCATAGATGTTTGCTTCACTTTGCATGCGTGAGCGTGCAGATTCGTCCCCTTCTTTCCTTTACTGGGGAACCTGATCCAGGCCTACCTGGAATCGTGTCCACGACGTTTTCCCAAGTGTTTGGATTCTGTTTCGAGTTTAGATGTTTCAGCCCTTTCAAGGCATGGCGCTGGACGCGAAAAGAAATCGGGGTCAAAACGCAGCTTGGTGGCATTTTGGGCGCACATAGGCAGAGGGCAAGTTGACGCATGCGTTTGCTCTGAGCAGGTTTCCATGACACGTGGGTCGTTTAAGAAGCATGTGACGGCCATACAGCTTAGATACAGATGATCGCACAGATGGCCAAACAGCATATGGACAAGTACGCGACAGTGGTACGCTCTATGTGCTTGGGTCCGCTTCAAGCCTCCACTCTTGCAGATAGCTGCTTCGACAAGAAGCTCCTTGGCCCAAAGGGTTGGCGCGAGGGATCTGGATCTAACCTACGCAACAGCCAATCACAGATCTGCCTAACGGATGCCAAGACGTTACACAAGTTTGGTGGGAATTGCTATTAACCATTAAAATCATTACCTAACTCCTAAACCACCCGAGCTTGAAAAGTTTTGGGGCGGAAATACCTTCGGCAGGCGTGAGACGAAAGGGGTCGTTCCATCCAGGGTCCTGGTCCAAGACAATCACAGACAGGAGGAAGGTCCCTGCATGTGCGAGTCAGAGTTTCTACAGCTGAGTCTGCAATGCCTTAGTTATTCGGTTGTATCGTTGTTGTAGCAGAAATGACGTGGAGATGTCTAGTATCCAGCGTCTTCACTCCCAAACCTCGCGTTTTATTATGTCCGCTGTCCTGCTG